GGCAGTAGTTTAGCGCAATAGCACATCCTTGCCGTCCTTGCACTACTCCTGTTGTACACTTCACCAGGTTCTTGGTCGCTGGAAGTTTTGCTTGGACGAAGACAGTTGTCGAGGTGCCCTGACCTTGCCTTCGTGCTGCACCTTCGGCTCCTCGCCTTTGTGGCTGAGGCACTAGTCCGTTTTTCCTCCCTTCACTGTGGTGGACGGTGTCTTCAAAGGTGAGGTTCCTCTTGAGCTGGTTGAACTGGTCTTCTCCCGCCCCAGACGCAGGGCCCCTTTGTGGATCTGACCGTGGAGAGCGGCAGATTTGCCTTCGCAAGCTGTGCCGGGAGCACCAGTGTTCTTAGGGCAACCACTTTTTAGTCGTAAGCGTCCCTCGAGGTGCTACAGGCTCTCCTTCGGGTTCCCTCGGGACGAGACAGTGGTTCCTCCCAGTCTCCTGCAGTACCATACTGCAAGCCCCTTCCCTCCCTCGCCTACTGGGTTGAGGTGGCGTTGCGCTGCCTCCCGCCGTTGGGGTTTAGGATAGGTTAGGGAGGATTCTTTCTCGCTTGGCGCCTCCGTGCCGCCGGGCTCCCACTCAGCTTTTCTGGCCTGTGATGCAGTGTCGTCTCTCCCCTGGCGTAACTCTCGCAGCTTTTGCGACACTTCGCCTATACTGCTGGCCTGGAGCTGTTTTGGCTTTTGTTGCTTTAGGCAAAATTTGCTCGCTTTTGCCTGTTTTGCGGAGAAGGTCCCGCTGCAACTCAAGGGGTTCCTTTGTTATTCACTTCGTTTGGTGCCAGTCGTGCGTCGCGTGTTATGGCCTTCACTTGAGCATGGGCGCCAAGGCCAGGACCCTCACTCAGCCTGCTTTTGCCCGGCGGGATTCGGGTGCGAGCTCTGTATACCCCGCCGCACAAGGTTTTATCCTTGCACGCCTGAGTTTGGTGTTGGCAGTCATACTGTTCTCCGTGGGCTGAGCAGTCCCTGGCTTTCCTCCCTGCAGCACCTTTGGCTTCCTGGCCCCGTTCTTTTTGTTTACCTGCCTTGGGTTTTGGGTTGCAGGCCCTGTTCCTCCCTCCTGGGTTTCTCAGGGGCAGGTCTCTTTTCTGCCCGTCCTCTTCCATTGCGGCTGAGTGGCACAGCGTTGTTCCCTGCGCTTGAGAATTGAAGGGAAAGCGTCGTTCCCTGCGCCTCGTTGAGGGGAATGCGTGGGCCCCGCGCTTAAGTCCAAATTGAGGGGCTGCAGCTCTGTTGCTGTGGCTGCAGATGGGCAGTTGGCAGCTCGTCTCGGCTTGCTTGCGCTTGCAGATGAGCCTTCAGGTTTGGTTGTTTTCTTTAGGCCCTTTTGACCCTTCCGTTTCCTCCCTCGGGCCAAGGGAGTCGCGCACCTTCGGTCTCTTTTCGGCCAGCAATGCCCACTCAACCTGCCTGTGTGCTTGGTGGACCGTGGTGTTGTGCAGGCCAGTGGCAGTGTAGCTGAGGTTGCCCCTGTCCTTCGCCCCTGGGCCCAGCCCTCCTCGCTTCTGGCTAAGGTTCACCTCGTACTTTCTCTTCTCCCCGCCGTTCTCTTTCCTAAGGGCGTTTGGGTGCGATTGGTGGGGTTTAGGATACTCTTTACGAGCCCCTGGAGGTTCCTCTCCAGCCGCTCCCTCAGGGTCCCCTCTCTTGAGGTTGGCTTCGCCCAGGCTAAGGGCAGCTGCTCTGGCTCCTCACCTCTGGGTTGAGGCTCCTCACCTTCCTGGTTGAGGTTCGTCACTTTCTGAGGCTTTCGAGCCGGGGCACAAAGTTTTCACCCCCTCTGAGGCTACAGAAGCCAGGACCCCGTTTTTACCCTGGGACTTGCCGAAGGCATCCCAAAGGTGGTACTGAAACCCTGTACAGAGGTAGGGCCTCCGCCCCTCGCCTTACTGGCCGAGGTTGCCGTAGCCCTTCACCCAATAGGGGTCTGAGGTACTCACCCTTCTGCATGGAATTCACGTGTTGAGACCTCGTCTACGACGGCCTCCGCGCTCGGCGAATGAAAATCCCATTTGACCTTGGATGTCCTGATGTTTTCGGCATGCCTGAAGCTGTGAGGAGTGCTTTTGAGTTAGGAAGTGACTGCACGTTCGTTTCGTCTCGTTTCGTTAGTGCTTGAAGTGTTTTGCTTGGAGACAGACAGCTGCAAGGTGTTTCACTGTCAGTTAGAGCCCGACGCGACTCCGCTTTGGCTCAAGAAAAAGACCGAGTGCTGCGCGCTCTGTTTTTCACATTTACTCCAACTCGTAACAGTTAGCACATTGAGGTACGAGTCACATGCAAGATTCCAACTGCTTGGTGGGCCGTCTCCAGATTGCCATTGCTTGACCGATTGAAAGTTGACTTCGAGAATGGACTCATTCCGGCCAGACCAGACGCATCCGCGCATGTTTCGCGTATTCGACTCATATCGAGGCACTTTTTTTCGCCTGCTCTGCCACTTGCAGACATCTCACTGGGGTTGCAGACTCAACCTTCTCTTTCGATTCAGGCCGCGGGCTTGCTGCATAGCGCGCTGTGGCGCATTTCGAGCTATTGATGGTTCTCTAGTGGTTGGTCGCCCAGTCGCCCGAGAGGAGAACCAGGCGCAGACGCTCCGGGTGGCGAACGCCCCTGGTTCAGACTGGGGCACTCTAGGGCGTAGGATCGTTGGAAGGCGACGGAGAAGTTTCTCAGGGAAGGAGGCCTCAGGTCTGGCCTCCAACTTCCTTGCACCGAGTTGATGCCATATCTCCATGGCGAAAAACGATCATCAGTATTCATATTCAAGACTGAAGGAAATCTACAATGAACGAAATTATCAGATGCTCTATCTCTTGAAGGAGAGTCACTTTCCTTCGAGTGGTCGTGACATGCAACGACTGTTGACAGCTGGCCGCGCGGCTGGCTCCTCCAGGTGACCTTCGTCCTTTGCCGACCGTAGGAGTAACGACATACGTCATTGTGTCGATACCCTTAGACGTGTGCACGAGCTACATGGCCCTGGTCTTTAGACCGGGCTCAACTGGGCGGTCTGGTGGGCTCCTGCCGCCTTTTCGAATCGACACCGATAGTGCACCTGGCAATTGGACTGGGATAGGTTGTGACGGACCTCATGAGGCACGTCGCGGCAACCGACGACATACATCGTCAAGGTTCAATCATTATCCATGCTGCCTCTGCTCTGGCTTCGACTGCCGGAGTCTAGTTTGGGTCGGTGTGCACACTCGCATGGCTGTTCATGACCACTGCTTTGCCTTTGTTGCGGGGGGGAGGGGGTCTTGGCTGCGCTGTTCTGAGGTTGCGGCGCACACAAGATGTCCCTGAACACAGCAGGTGCAGATTGATTGCCAGTGCACGTGGCCTTGCAATTACATGGTCTGGTGGGGACGGGTCTCTTGTGGCAGGTCGGGTCATCTCTGACTGCGACAGCCTTTCCTGTGGAAGCCGCTGGCACCGACAACATACGTCGTTGAGGTCCTTCTTCCTCCATGCTACTCCTGATTGGGCGCTATGCACCACTGCTAGAGTCCTCCAGGTCCGGTGTGCACGCTCGATATGGGTGGCCTAGTCGGCGTTCTTTCGGGGCGATGCTCTGGCTTGCGCTGCGTTGGGTTTGGCGCACAACAACTTGTTCCCACGGTCTGCTACCTTGCCCGGCCACCTGCACTTTGGGTGGCGACTGGTGCCCGCTGGACGCCTGCATCCGAGTCGCCACTGTTTCGCTCGCCGAGGATCGATTGGTTTTGTCCTTCGGTGTGTGTATGATTCCCCGGCCGGTTTTGAGTTGCTACGACTCTGGCCACCGCATCATGTCTGGAAGCCGCTCACCACAGTGAGCCTTGGACTTTTGGATTTTGGTGTGCACGATCGTGACGGAACAAAACACAGGGGCTGTCCGTTGTCTGGCGAGACTAGAACGGCTGCCAGAGCTTGGTCTTGGCTCCACCTGTTGTTTTGGGCAGCTCAGGGCGACGGCTCTTTGTTGCTCCGGATCGGTCGCTGAGGCTCCGTAGTTGTGCTGAACGGCTAACACCGGCAAAGCCTGTGCGCCGCAGCCCCTGTGGAGCTTCGCCTTCTGTTTCACCGCTTTGTTTAGTTTGACGTTAGGATTGTAGTTTCGCTTGTAAGTAGGAACCGAGAGCTACAGCCGTAGTCGACGAGGCCCAGTCAAGCCAAAAAAAACACAGTGTTCAAGGCGCCTCTATTCGCTGGAATTCCTATCTATCTGTCGCCCCAAGACTTGAAAAGAAGACGGTGATTGGAGTTGACGGACAAGTGTTCACATCGGAATTGAGGTTTGGCTCTCGGCTCCTTCTTCGCACCAAGGCGACCCACTGCAAGACTTGGAAGCCAGTGCGCGCAGCAGTACTGGCAAGCTAATTGGCTGAATGACTTCGCCGGCGACGTCTGCGTGTCGCAGCTGATTCGTTTCACCTTGGACAGTTTATTCTGGCTGTATCTTCTTAGCAGAGGAACGAGCGCAGCACCTGCTGTCACCGAGGCCTTATCACGGCTTTCTCCAAGTCCCATTTTTGCAAGAAGTCACACTTCAAGCACTCTGAGATGGAGGGGCTCTCTTCTTTGTAAGAGCATCCATCATATCAATGGAGTGGTACACCAAGCGTTCAAGAACGGAAAGGTCACGCTCAATGCACAAAGGGCAATCCTGATGCTCTTCGGAGTGAAACCACCGTTTTTTCAACTTGAAAGACTGAAAGAAGGTCTCAGTGTTCTTGCAGGAACGTAACTTTCGAAAAGGGATTTGTGGATGTGCTCACATGAAAGTGTTTCTGTGTCGTCTTCATTGAGCTGTGCTTGCTGCAAAAGGCACTGGAGGTTGTGATAGTCGATTTTGACATCTGCCTCTGGAAAACTTCAAATCTTGCCAAGGAGCCTGTCCATTCTAGCAACAAGTTCTTGCCTTGTATGATTCAAAAGGAGGTCCAACGAAGGCTGCACGGTGCTCGTGGTACTGTGCAAGCACCGTGCTAAGATTGTTCATGGTAACCGGAAATTTAGACTAGGCGCGAGAAGGTCAATGTGGTCGGAGGGAACGTTCGTGGCAACAAGCCATCTTCCTTGGCTTGCGAACGGTGTTGTATGCCCTTCTGGAGTTCTGGGGATTTCTGCAGAGCCTCCCTCCAGTTCGGGTCCATGTCACCCCATTCAATGGGCTCCGGGTCTGTGTCAGGAGCGCTTCCCTTAAAGGTGCTTGCTAAACTCGTGATGCCTGACATTCCGGAGGCCCCTGCCGGCTGCATCTGGGCCTGGAGGTTGGAGACCAACGCATCATAAAGAGAGCTGGAAATGGTGCGGGGCTTTTACGGGAATTCCAGGAGCGGGCATTACCGATTGGGCGGGAGCAGTCTGCGGCGGAATAGGAGTAGGCGTCTCTGCTGTTTCCGGCGCCGCTGGCTGCGCCTCCGTCTGCTCAGCTGCCATGGCGGCTGCGGGATCTGTGGCCATGTTCCGAGGTTTCACCGAGGTCTGAAGGAAAATGAACCAATCGACACGAAAATTAGGCACAGGCAGGGAAAGCAACCTAGTGTCTGGCGACAGGGCTGCTGCGTTTCACTTTGAGCCTCCGACTTCTTTATGATGATCCAAATGCATTCCGGCTACCTGCTTCAGAATGGCCACGCTTGCCTCGAGCCCAGGTGCACTGCTCACGATTCGAGCTTCTTCGCTTGGCTGCCAAATGGGATCAGCACAAGGCCCTTCGACTTGTGCTGTGCAAAGACGTCGCCTTTCATGAAACGGTGGGCTGCTTTGGGGTGACTACAGATTCCGAGTTTGATAGATTCATCCTCAACCCGACTGTGGCTAACTCTCGGACCCAGGGTCTTCGTCGGTTTGCCAACTTGCTTGCACGGGATCCTTGTTTGCGCTGGGCCATCTGCCGTCTCAAAACCATCTGATGCGCTTCAGCTGTGACGATCTTTCATTCAGGATGTCTTATGAACGATCGAAACGCAACTGTTTGGGTGTTGCTTTTAGCCCTTGGAAGCTCAAACATTTCAGTGTCTTTAACTTTTCGGAACACAATTGTCCTTGTTACTTGGCCTTGGGGACTTTAGCCATGGGCGATCTTCATGCTGTAGAGTTTGCGCAACAAAGTTACCACATGTACTTAGTTCGCTCGTAAGCGGTACGCGGCTGGAACACCGTACCAAAGCTTCGCTACGGGACACTGAGATTTTTTGAACGCCGAGGTTGCATATCCCAAAGTTGGCTTGGTGCAGCATCCTCGAAAAAGGCAGCGAAACGTTACTACTGGCATTTTCCTTGGAGCTGAAGCGAGTGCGCCTCGGCATCGTGTCGGTGTGTTGATGCGAATCACTTGCGCCGCAGCCCGGAAAGGCTGCTGCTCGGCCGACCTGCTGTCATCACTGCTGGGACTTTGGATCCACATCTTAATGTTGCGGCGGCCGGTGCTAGCTGTGCTCGAGAGTGTTTTCGCTGATGCTCGGAAGCTCCCTCGAACCGCTATCTTTCAGCTGCAGCGGGCCTCGATCAATGAACTGTTCAGCCTTTGCGCCCTGGCTCCTTTCATCCAGTTCGACCTGCGAGTTGATTACCCTGGCCTGCTTTTCTGCATGGATGCTTCGCCTTCTGTGCGCGGCTCGCCTCCCGTGCGCCACGATCAAAGAACTTTGGCGTTTTTCGGAACAGAAAGGCGTTTACACAAAGCTTTTGAAGCCTCCCCGGAGCACTTCTTGCTGCCAACGGTCTGGTTGAAGACGCTGGCAACGACTTCGCGGCCAATGTCGGTGAAGCTACTGTCTCAGGTCTGTCGTTCGGCTCGGCGCCCCTCCCGCTCCAGCGTCCTTTGTCTTCAGGCGGTGGCTTTCTCCACTTGTTCGGGAATGACCCTAGCTGCTGCGGGTTTGCCCTCGCTTTGCTTGGCGGATCTTGGTTTTCCGACCGTCCCGCAGTTTTCTGACTTGGCCTCGGATTCGACTTTCCACCAACTGCGGAACCTGCTCACTGGCGGAGCGGTTCGTGATCTTCATGTTGCGGCGCCGGCTCTGTCTTTTCTGCAACGGGGCCGCTTTCCACTTCGTTCTCCAGACGCCCCGGCGTCATCTTCGAGCTCGCCTGCGGAGCTTCACCTTCATGACCGTCTCGCTCGGAGGCTGTGCTTTCTTCTGTGCATCGCCGCCTCCTCCGGAGTGTTCGTGAGTGTGTCTCAACCTGCTTCGAGCGTCATGTTCCGCCTTCACTGTTTTCGAGGGTTCATGCACTGGGCGGTGGGCGGCTTACTGGCTCGAGTGTGCTGTTGCAACTTCGGAGCGCCTTTCAAACGACCACTTGTGTTTCTGCACAACAAACCCTGGCTCCTTAACTTGGGCGAAGGGCTTGATGTCTGTTGGTGTCCGTCGGACACCCAGCACTTCCCTCTTGCAGGTACTTTCTCCGCAGTTTCAGCCGCAGCGTTCGAGGACTCCTGTTCCCCTTCAGCCGAAGCCGTCTTTGGACGTAGCCTCGGGTTGGCGAATCTGTCGCCTCGCCTCTTACTGTGCGAGAGTGCCTTCTGTGCTTGCCTCACGGGTCGCTTCGGGAAGCGCTCTTGTAATCGTGGGTCTCGTTCCCCCTGTTCCGGCTTCTGCTTCAGCCCGAGCCCTTAACGCCCTAGGGTCACGAATATCCGGAGTGGATCGGTGAGCTTGCTGACTGTTTGGAGTTCGTTGAGTTGTTGCGGTACCACTTTGCCGAGTCTGGGCACATAATGTTCTTGCGTGTCGCGCTATGTCGCGCTTACAAGACCTGGGTCAAGTGGTGTGCGCGCCGGTACCCCCGCAGTCGCCTACTGGGGTTAATTGACAGTCGGGTTCTCCTTGGTGCTGCTGCGAAAGGGCGTTCTGCGAGCGGCGCGATCTGTCGCGTGCTGCGTTCCACAGTTCCCTACTTGTTGGGTTCTGCGCTTTACCCTGGCGGCCTTCACGTGTACTCGGCTCAGAATGAATAGGGCTGACGGTCCTTCGCGTGGTGCGAGTTCGCTTGCTCCAACCAAAGCTTGGCCTGCGTGGTTGACTGCCTTGGCTTCGGGTGACACTCGACCGTTTGACCTCGTTTGCGCTTCGGCGGCTGTGCCTCGCCGTCTGGGTCGCTGGGTGCGTTTGTTGCTCCTGCTTGCGGGTGACGTTGAACGAAACCCTGGGCCTCGTCATCATGGCGGTCCTCGTGGGAGTCTCGACTTACAGTCCGGTTTTGCAGCCTCCACCCGCAACAAGATGACCAAGGCCCTGAGTGCTGTCACTATGTGGCTCCTGAGCGAGTTTGGCCTCAACCTTGAAGCCGTTACCACTTCAGCTTTCACCGCGGCGCTCGCCTTGCGTGCCTTCGGCCTGCACCTCTACTCAGGTGGCTACCCTCGCTACTTGCTTGTGTATGCCATCACGTCTATTCAAGACCTCTACCCGTCGCATCTGTCTCCAGCCTGGCAGATTGACCGAAAGTGGCAGATAGCTGAACCCGGGGAATGCAGACCCGTCATCTCTCAGCCTATCCTTCAGGCGGCTGTCGCTCTAGCGATATGCTGTGGGTGGTACGACTGGGCTGCGATCACCGCCGTCGGCTTTGTTTGCATGCTCCATCCTTCGGAGATGATACCTCTGCTCCGACAGGACCTCGTTTTTCCAAGCGATGCTTTGTCTCCTGACCCCGTTGCTTATGTGCACATTTGCAACCCTTAGACGCAAAGGCTTGCGCGGAGGCAGCACGCTCGCCTGGAAGACCCTACCGTTCTTGCACTGCTCCAGGCCCTTTACTTCGAACTCCCTTTGCGGCACGCCTTCTTCGAGGTTCCATGAATGTCTACCGACGACAATGGAACGCTGTGATGGCCCGTTTGGGCGTACCTCACCAGTTGTGCCAGTGCGGCGCAACGCCTGGAGTCTTGAGGGGATCCGGGGCCACCTTTTTTACTTTGAAACAGAGGACCTTCCTCTCGTGGCCTGGCGTGGCAGATGGAGCAAAACCAAGACGGTTGAATTTTACCTCCAGGAGGTGGCGGCCCAGCTTCTCTTGCATCGGCTGGCCCCTTGGTCGCGAGAGCGCATTCGAACCCTCGCGTCCTTCTCGCGATACCTGATCAATCAAGTGATCGCGTCTTGTGGCTCTAGCCAAGTTAGAGATGGAATCTGCTGCAGCACTGCATCCGGCGGTTCGCTTCGACGGCCTTCAGGCGACCCCTTCCCTTCCTTAAGCCCCTAGGGTTTAGCCCTCGGTTCTTCTTTACGTTAGGGGTTCCTTCCGGTAGGCTGTGTCGCGGCGCCCTGGCCTGCAGGTTCACCTCACGAAACAAAGCTTCGTCCGGGACTCTTCGTGGCAGCAAGCGAAAAGGGGATGTCAAGTAGGGGATGTCAAGTATCCCATGTCAGCCGTGCAATCGCGACTCTCCCGCAAGATTCCTTTCTCGCCCACCCGCCTCTCCCAGGATCTTGCTGCGGAATCTGCTGCAGCACTGCAGCCGGCAGTTCGCTTCGACGGCCTTCAGGCGACCCCTTCCCTTCCTTAAGCCCCTAGGGTTTAGCCCTCGGTTCTTCTTCAGGTTAGGGGTTCCTTCCGATAGGCTGTGTCGCGGCGCCCTGGCCTGCAGGTTCACCTCACGAAGCAAAGCTTCGTCCGGGACTCTCTGTGGCAGCAGGCGAAAAGGGGATATTATATAGCTTCTAACTCCACGTTTTTGTAAGCTGGATGTTCCCTGCGGACGGCATGTCTACTTCTAAGGGCGGGGTGGTTATAAATGATTACAGTGCTTAGCATGGTTAAGTATCTTGTGCAACCATGGTTATTATCATGGCTAAGTTGTTGTTAGTATACTTATAAGTAGGCTATGTTGCAGCAGTGCAGATGGCTTGTTTAGTAAATGGACGGGGTCATTTAACAATCAGATGTTGTTGCTTGTAAGTGATTAGACAGGATAGACAAGATATGGATATTTTACTTAGCCAAGTTAGCATACTTAATGCTAACTGAGGTCGTGCCATTTAGCACAATTAAGTAAACAGGCCAAGTGTGCTTAGGTGCTGTTCTTTTTGGTATATGTATCGATGCTCGCGGGCAGTATATTTTCGCCTGCAGGGCAATAAAGCTTTAATTCCACAGGCAGCCATGCCAGCAAACACTATATTTTTTTCATAAGATGCATGCATGCTCGCAGGCAGTATATACTTAGTTCGCCTGCAGGGCAAGAAGGGCAAGAAAACCATCATGTGACCATGTGTATATACCGACGAAGTTTCTCTGCTCGAGAACTCAGTGTACTTCTAGGTGGAACAAGGTGCAATGGCGCTGTCGCCTGAAGTTTACGGGGAAATCGCAGCCCTACTGCGGAAGACAGAGGGAGGCGAGTTCCTTGTGAAGTCGGTCGCCGACCTCTTCGTCGTTCTTCGCCGCTCTGGTTTGTTGACAGAGATGCGTATACCCCCACTTTCAGT